AATATTAAAAATCTACTATATTCTTACACAATAGAATATGCCTCAATGAAAGTGTTACATCTACCCTCAGTAACTCCACTCGACCTCTTTGTTAGTGTATTCAAAACAAGAGCATAGTTAATTTATTTCAAGCGTTCTTTACTTGTCTCCCCTTTTTGTCTGGCTGCCAGTTGTCTGTCTGATGTCCGTTGCCGTTTGAAAGCGGAGCATACGAAATCAGTTTTTAATTATTTAATTAATTGCGTAACGTTATGCAAATAGCCGGAGGAAAGTTTAATCAAACTTTAAAAAAAGCGAAAACGAAAACAAGAACGAAAAACTCGACGAAATTGCCGTCGAATTGCATTGCATAAGAAACGAGAAGTCAGGAAAGTAAATGTTGCTGCAGTTCGCATATGGTTAAAAAAAAAAAGAAAATCATATGAAATTATTTATGGATTTAAATAAGGGGAAATAAAGCAATTACAGCTGCATTTAAATGCCAGATGAATGTTAAGTGCGCGCCATTCGTAAAATGTATAAAAATGCGCTTAAATTTGCCGAAGCAAATAAATCTTTAAATTATGCTCATTATGTATTTGGTTGTGCCAACTAATTACATTACGTTTCAGCTACCCAATTCAGGAGAAACCACACGCACATAAAAACCACATAAAATCACCTGCGAGGCTCACGCACAGAGGGGGAGAGAGAAAGGAATAAGAGAATGAGAGAGCAAGAGGAAGGGAAAGGTGGCCCAACCCAGCATTTTATTTATGACCTCGTCTGTAATATTTGAAGTTATATTTTTGATTTTTTATATGGCTTGTGGAAATGGCATGGGGTTGATGTGGTTGGGGTTTTGGGGCTGACTGACTGCCACAGGTCGCAAGTGTTGAAAGCCGCAACGAACGTGGCAGCGGCTGTCACAACGCATTCCAATGCTGCGAGCAGCGTGTGTGTAAGTGTGTGTGTGTGTGTGAAGTTTAGGGGGCAACATTCAGTGAAGAATTTGCCCAAGCAGTGAGATATTTTTCACGGCTATCTGCTCATAATTACCTCACCAAATGCTTCGCCTATAAAAATATAGAAACTTTTACTTTAGAAAATATGTTATGAGAGCCTGAACATGAGCTAAATTATAGACATGAAAAAGTTGTAATACCATTTTACATCTATAACTTTGAGCCCGACCAAAAATATTCCCATCGCTGAGGGAAAAAATGGAAAACTAATTGGTATCATGTATTTTTAGCATTTTCCAATTTGTGGTACGTGCTCGGCGACCTTAAGTGTTCCCTGGCGAGCATTCAAATGGCTTAGGATTGATTAGGTTAACAGCAAATATCTCTTTCTCTTTGTGTGTGCGTGCCTTTCTTTCTGTCTCGCTCTCACTCTATGGCTATTAATTGAAATGTTGCAGTGAGAAGTTTGTAAGTCTGTATATAGCTATATAAATATGTAGCGTATATAAGTATATATATATTTATCTACATAGTAAAGAGCTGCAAGTTTTTTAATTAATTTCATCATCAAAAGTTTCATGTGTTTTTTTTTTTAATGCAGTTTGACTTTTAAAGCGTAATTATGTAATTTGCTAACTCAAAGCCGAAAGCACTGTCTGTTTTTTGCTTTACTATAAAATACGCTTTATACAGCTATAAGGGAGTTGAAAGAGGGGAGTAAATATATTTAGCTAGGTTTTACTTATGCAAATGTATACATAGGTATCGAAACTCTATGTAGAGTTTAAGTTTATTTCTAGAAAAAGTATTTTAAATTTAAGATTATTTTTTTTATTAATNCAAGTCTCTAGTACTTGAAATGCGTTTTTTACAAATTGGGGGAGAAGGGGGCGTGGTATCCAAAATCTGTAAATTACAAAATCTTTGTATCGATTAACTTTATATACAACGCAAATTTGAAGACTCCAGGTCTAAAAATGTTCAAATTAGGCTAAAAAAACAAAATCAATTTTTCGATTATTCTCGATAAAAAAGTTATCGGACGATTTATCGAAAAAATAAAGCAAACTCGTACTGCGTATGGTACACACGAGTATGCATGCCAAATTTCAGCTCTCTAGCTCTTATAACTTCTGAGATCGACGCACTCATACGGACGGACGGACGGACGGACGGACGGACGGACGGACGGACGGACGGACGGACAGACGGACAGGGCTATATCGACTCAGCTCGTCACGCTGATCAAGAATATATATACTTTGTGGGGTCTGCCACGCCTCCTTCTGCCCGTTACATACTTTTTCACAAAACCATTATACCCTGATTTCCCATTTTCAATGGGTTCAGGGTATAAAAATATATATAAAAACAATTTTCTAAATTTGAGCAGAAATTATAACAGAAATTTTTAACAAAATAAATACAGCTATAATACAGATAAAAATACAAATAAAATTTGAAATTTGAAGTAGTTGACAACAACTACATTGCATTTGTGCTGCTCTCTTTGGCAGTGCTTAGTGGCTTGTCCTGCTTAAGAAATAATAAAATATACCTAAGCGTTTTACCTATATGCTATTCATTAAAGAACTATGTAACTGTTTTATAATTAAAGCTTTAGAAATAACTATTACTAACTATTTTTATGCAAGGTTTTCCCCCCTCCAATTAATTAGGTGCAACATTAGAGACTCTGTTTCTTTTATAAAGTCCGAAGCTTTTTATTAAATTGAAGCAAACCCGTTGGCAGCTTCCTGTTGTAGAGTCTACAATTACGTGCGTATATTTAAAAGTACATTAAATAATTTTGCCTGTCACTCCACCCCGTGCCGCCCAATGGCACCCCAAGCCACTCCCACCACTCCACCTCACTCCTTTGGCTGTTCAGGCCAAACAAATTGCTTGACTGTAAAATAAAATGAATTCAAAATAAACAGCAGGCAGCCCAAGTCGAGCCAACAAAATCAGCCCAAACCAAATTAACGTGCATAAATCTAAATTAAATTTTTGCTTAAGAAAAAAAAAAAGCAAAACAAATAAGAGAAAAGAAACCAGGAAATTTAAGAGCAAATACTGTTTGCTAGCGTAATTTGTGAAATTTGTTGTCGAGTGCCATGCCCACAATGCTGGCTTGTTTGTTCGACTGTTGAAGGTATGGGGGCGGTTGGGGCGGTACCTTGAATAAAATGAGTAATGCCGTTTGTACTTAATTTGAATGACAAATGTCTCAGAGCCGTAAACGTATTTATTACGCTCACTGTAGAGCTTCTTCTTCTTCATCTTGTTGTTGTTGTTTATGTGAACGCGGGGCGATGCGCCAAAGACTCTGTCATAACTTCAAACTCTTCAACCTGTCCACCCTACCCCTACCACGCCCACATTTCTGGGCATTCCGTCAGCTGTCGCTTTGTATTGTTGCCTTCATTAATCGTTGCATACGCAAAGATTTAACAATATTTAGTTTAATTACGCAAACAAGATGCCACGGAACACATTCTATTGATTTAAGTGCTTATTTAGCCTGTTTGTGTTTGTGTGTGTGTGTTGGTGTGGGTGTATTTGTGTTAGTGCTTCGTATTTGTGTGTTTGTTTGCTCACCTGCCTTTGCCTATTTGCTACCTTGTTACATATTTCTGTTTGTCTTTCCCACTGTTTATTGTCCTATGATATTTCAATTAAAACACCTTCGATTTCTAATTGCAGCATGGAAACCATGATTACCAGAAAACACAGATAAAAATGCCAGCGCAAATTTATTGGAGGACTAAAAAAATTCGGGCAGCTTTGCTCGTGGTAAGTAATGCCAACAAAAATTCTAATAATTAATATTATTCTTAGAAATATGGTCTGCCCACGTTAATTGGGCTGAAATAATAGAAGATGCTTAAGATAAAAGCATATTAGCTTACATAAGATATTATATAAGATAGTATAGTACAAACAATTGTTACTTGAACTGCAGAAATGTTGTTGGAAATATTTAGATTATATAT